CATTACGTGACATTATATTAAAAATAAAATTTATTTTTGTAATTTTTTATATAAATTAGTAATAAAAATATACAATAAATATACCATAAGGGAAAAACGCTAATGTAAATTACCAATTTGGTGCCAACTCAAAGTTGACGTGGGATAAAAAATGCCACCTCATTGTCGTGTAAGCAATGCACCCCATCAGAAGCACCTTTCCGTTATAAATTAAAGATTGTCTAAGGTAAGCCATACGAAAAAGACTTATTTGCAACCATACAACAAAGTGGAAAGGTTAATTTGCGTTTGTTTTTAGTTGAGGGGCTAATCTGCCACCATTTACCCAGTACAGGGGCTGATTTGCCTTTTTTGCCAATTTCAAACAAGAAATTTTCACTAAATACCTTATTTCTAACTGTTTCAAAATAAACAAATTCATCAGACATTTATCCTTAGTAATTTAGACAAGACTACTAATCATTAATTTCAAATTACTATGCCAAATAAGGCTTAAGAAACTATCCTAAATCCCTTCGCAAAGAAAAAGAAAAAGAAAAAAAAACACAAATTAGGGTGTAAGAAAAAAAAGGTCGCTTTTCCTAGTTCCATCCCTGGGGACTGGAATACGAGTTGCAATGGTGGTGGTTGGTGGCTGTCCAAGGTGGGCAAACGGGAAACGTGTGTTGAACATGTTGGATTGCGTTATTTTCGCCTAAAATCAAGGGATGTGGCAGATTTGATGTTGTACTCTTACCTATTTTGGGGATGTGCTGGGATTTTGAAGTACAAAGCAAAATAATAGAAAGATGGTCAAATAGATTTGTTTTCTTGTCGGACAAATCTTTGAATTTAACTTGATTCTAGGTTATTTATTTAGACTTATAGTAATTTGGGTTTGAGTTAACACGAATTACTTATTAAGCTGGTAACAGCACCATGAATAATAGCCTCGGTATGGAAATTTTTGTTGGGATTGGAGGCAGTCATTTATGATTTACATGTCTCTTTACAGTATTTTTATTTGATATTGGATTTTTTTAATTTGTATTCTTAGATTACAGGTTAAAATTATCTTTTTTATAATAAATTTGTATAGAAAAATGAAAAAATAAATATTAATTTTAATGTCAATATCATGTGGATAAATTTAATTATATAATTAATAAATTAAATATTACTTTTTATTTTTTCATGATTTTTAACCACTTTAAGAGCACAAGTTAAAAAAACCCTTTGATATTTATAAAATTTAGTTTATTTTCTATAAAAAAAAATTACCATTTATTCAAAAATTTTATGGAGAATTTGTTGTTTCAATAATTTAATACTCATACTAAGATTGAGATTAAGATTATAAAAAGATAAGAATGTAGATATATATAGCCAAAAAAAAGGAAGAAAAAAAAAAGGCTAACTGAGTGGGCGTTATTGCTTACCGAGTGAAAATCCAATCCAAAATGAAAACCAAGTATCAAGTGCCCCTGATGAATTTCCAGTATTAGAACAAAGGGATTTAAGCACTGAAATGATTGATTCCCCTCGTGTTTGTTGGTCTTCCACGACGCCAACACCATTAGCTGGAGTCCCTCTTGGTTTGATGAGGTATGACTTCACTCTTATATCTTCAATCATAATTACAATCAACAAAAATAGCAGTTATAAACTAAATCAATCAGAAGAGGAAAGGAAAAAGATGGTAAACCCAAAACTCTCTTTTTTTCTTTTTTTTTTGAGCTATGAGGGCTGTGAGGAATTTAAGATTAATTTTGATTTAACCAAATAATTAAATATATCCCCAATCAATTTAATAATCTTAATTTTTAATTTAAAGTATTCAAATTTATTTATTCATTATTCTTTTTTTTTTGGTAAAAATCTATACTTTTCTCTTTTAAAATGTTATTTAATGCATTTATTTTTATTTTATGCTCATTTAAAATAAAAATTAAAACATATATTAAACAATAAATTTTATTTAAATAGTGATTAATTAAAAATATATATAATTTTATTAATTAATTATTATAATTATGTTTTATTTAAAAAATAAAAAGTAATAAATAGAAAAAGATAAACCATACTAACAATTATATATCCACAGTGACAAAGATCCAAAAAGTCTTCCTTCCAACAATGAGGGTGATTGAGCAAGCATTAAAATGAGTGGAGTGGAATCAGAAGGGCATCTGAATGCCAGGTCTGGTAGATAGTGGAGTAGATCGAATGCAATATCTGATACCAAAGTTTGTGAGATAAAAGTGAAACATTAACGGCAAAAAGAAAAAGATTCTTAAAGCTCATACCAAACATTTTCTTTTTTATACACTCTTGGAGGAGGAAGAAGCCACGATCTTCGAAGAGGAAGAAGTCACGATCTCCATCTAGACATTGCAGAGTCTTCTTGTAGAGATAGCGTGCAATGTCTTTCTTACCAGCAGTAATTGCATCGCGGATAGCAGCGTCTAATATACTTTCAGATCTTGAATCCTGATTGTCGCGTAAGAACTGCTTTACTTTGCCAATATTCCTCCGGCAAATCAAATCATGCAAGGTCTTTTGTTGCCCTGCCAATCATGTTTGTAACTTGTAAGGCAATAGAAATTCGACCTCCAACAACAAATGCGCAGAAGAAATAGCAAACTCGGAACAGAGGAGATGTAATAAAACCTGGTAGCGTTTCCACTTGCAACTCGTGAACGTCTCTATAGAAAACTTCTTGGAGCTCAAAAATGTCGTGATAGAAAGGGGTTCTACACATTTCGGCTAAAGCATCCCAAGCATCTTTGGCTGAATTCATCTCCATAATCCGATTGAACATTTCTGTTCCGCATGAAATCTTAATTGAATGCAGAGCTAAAGCATTATTTTTAACCCACCCTATCTGGCCAGGCATCTCATTTGATTCAACAACATCCCAAAGACCTTGAGCTACTAAATAGTGTCGCATTAAAATGCTCCACCTTTTATAATTTTCTTTACTAAGAACTTCTGGTACAATCATGCTAGGACAAGTAGCCATGTTAGCCTGTAGAATATTTCACCATACATAAAATTAATGTCCGTACTAAAGTGCATTTGAAGAAAAAAAATTATTTAGAGGAAAGGACTTTTTTGAAGAAATATATATTTCATTGGTTAAAATTTTTAAAAATTAGTTATGCTGTGTCATTTGCCAGTGGCTTAAAATTGTAACTCAGCCTTTCAAAGTTCAAACTATAAAATTTTTTTCTTGGAATTTCACATCCAAATTGGTCAAAAGTAGCAATGTTTATGCACTTGTAGAGATTAAAATAATAAACCATGTAAATTTACTTACAAATCGGGTGATGATATTCCAGATCTGGGAAGCAAAAGGGAGGGAAATGGAATGATGTTCTCAAATAGAGGGCTAGAATTATTCGGCTAGATCTGGGAGGATACAACCTCCTACCCTTGATCAATTGGGAGTACGATGTTATATCATTTTATTTTTCTCCCTCTCCTTCTTTCCTTTCCTCCCTCCATTTATTAAAAAAAATTAAAGTAAAAAACTTTCTCCCCTGTAATTCCTTTTATAACTAAATAGAGCAATTTTTTCCTTACTCTTCCAACTCAAACCAAACGTATCTATAAAGTATAATTAAAGTTAGGTTTTTTTTTATCAACAAATAGTTAATTTAGATTAAGAACAAGAAACATGTATAGAAACAAAGTAAAACAATAAAAGATAATTAAACTTGATCAAACCGTATAAAGTGCAAAGATAAATCAAGATCTAAAGAAAATTAAATGTCAAAAGAATCATCACCATTCACTCGTCAATATCCTTAGAAAAATCTATCCACAAAAGAAACAGGTGATGGACTCAACATGGAAATTCGGAAAAAATAAATAAAGGAAGGAAGGGAATGAGAAGCTACGTACCAGAGTTTTGACTGAAGAAAAGCGATCGAGGGCAAGGAAGAGGTTGAAGGTGACCAATTAAAGCAGCAAAGTGAGATCGACGAGTGGCGACGTCAACTATTATAAGGCAGAGTGAGAGAAGCAGCAATAGGACAGAGTAAAAGATCGGCTGATGTTCTTATTAGATGCTGCTTTACCAAATGAAAGAAACCGCGTCCGCTGTCTTTTTCAAAAAGCGAAAATCAAAAAGCAAAATTATTGCCTTGGACCAACTTGTTTCCTAAATCGACGGTAGAGATTCAAATTGATTTGTTTTTTTGGGTAGAAAGATTCAAATTGATTTTTTTTTTTTTTTGGTTTTCCGTTAGGTATCGAT